ACGATCTTTCGTTGGCTAAGATTGAGGCTGTTCCCACAAGGGCGCTTGATGGCCTACAGCACCAGGACCCTTTACAACTACCGAGTAAACCGCAAAGAGAACGAAAGTGGGTTCCCCAGCAAGGTCTAGTTGAAAGCAGAAATAAAACGCGCAATTGCCCACGGAGTACACTTCTTCAGCAAAGTGTCAACAGTGATGACACGCGGGCCCTATCCCATTAATCACGTAAGAATCAACGGAGAACATCAGGAAGGCCTTGCTTACCCATGATTAGTGCCGTCTTTACTTTTAAAAGACGTTATTTCATTTTGATTAGCAACATGAAGTACCGATCCACATTTGTGCACCTCCATCCTATTTGTTCTTGTAGCTCAGTGTTGTGTTTAAATGGGCCTTAGGATCTTGTCACCACTAATCTCTCCTTATCCCTGGGTTTCGTCATATTTTGGTAACAGCGACAGTATACTAGTGACTGAAATCGCGAATAATTGTACACGTGCATTCATTATCTGAGCTGGATGAGATTTGACCACTTCAATTCACTACTGTAATGGTGGATTGCTGCCTCGAAGTAAAGAGGCATGCGCTATTAAACAGTCTTTATACACCGATATCATACCGATCAATAAATCTGGGATACGGTTTATTTTTGTTCTCATTGCGTAATACGAAGCATGACTTTACTGGTGCGATTCATTAACAATATTTCATATTTCAGCGGAGCTCTACTTGGAATCAGATAGAATCGAAGATGCTCATGACTGTATAGAAGAGGCAATTTCCTTATCTCAAATAAACCATGAGCTCATGTACCTGGTAAGTAAACACACTTAACCTTAAGACGTGTCCTGACAAAGGATTTCTGACTTTAATGTTAGAAGCTATAAAGTTGGTCTCACCATTTAAACGAATTCGCTTAGACACTATGACGCAGTTTTTTGGTTTTTGTGCGTAGCGTGGTCGCGTGTTCGAAGCCACGGGCAGATTCGAAGAAGCCAAAGCTCTGTATGAAAGTGTTATATCAATTAACCCATCCCATGTGAGAGCTCTGTATGGTTTGGTAAGTGATTACTCGACTTATACGCGTTTTGTAAAACAGGCTGTTCCTTGATCGATTTTCCTGTTTTATTATCGTAGGCAAGCATACTAAAGCAAGGTCATCAATTCATTCTGGCTGAACAAGCGTTACGTGACGCACTGGCAATAGATTCAACAAACTCACGCGTTTGGCGCTTACTTGGCGAAGTTTTAACCGCGGAAAGTTCAAATGACCCCGCATCCAAGGCCATGGCAACAACTGCCTTTTTAAGTGCTGCTGAGTTGGAACAAACAGAACCCTTAGAACCTTTCTACACTCTTCGTCTTGGGGTTTACTGCAGCTGAGACGGTTACGCTTTATTTCTGTGATATAATAACTGTTCTGCGTGAAATATGCGTGACTGCCTTCCCATGTTATCATAAAAAATCATTGACCAATCAGATGACAATTTCGGTAAATACATAATTGTAATCTCATCGGAGTGCTGTCAGAACCCAACCTGGCCAAGTTTTTCATCAGTTTTGGGGTCTGCGGTTATCTGCTGGACTTGAACAATCGCGCAGTTGATTTGGTCTTGCAACTGACGAAGTTCAGAAACATGAAGGAGACGAAGGGTGAGCACAACGGATCGTAAGACTGGATCAGACACATCGAAACCCAATGGTACATCCTCAGTTTTTAACAGATCAACCTTAAAAGTAGGAAGGAATAAGGGTCAAGTGAAGAACCGGGACCAAATTACCTCTTTTTCGTATTCCTTTTTAGACATTTCAATATTTTCATGTGATAACATCTTCTCAATAAGCAGGCAGGCTGCCTAGAGGAAATATAAAACTCAAATTAGATTACCCGGAAAGATTGTTTAGGGTCTGGGTGCTGGGGTATTTCAAGAAGCTTCGCCAGGTTTTCAACACCATGCTTGAATTCTGCACTCTCAGCTTATTTGGTTAGAAAGCTTGCAAGCTTACTATCAATGTTAGCGAAAATGTCGTGATAAAGCCTTGGATGGGAATCGTCTTTCGTATTCATCGGTCCGGATTTCGGAGCTATGAAGTAAGCTGCCGTATAAGGACTTTACCTAGTGATGACTGCGACTCGATTCCTCGATTCAAGATCCAATCAACCATAGGTTGAGGTTCACTCAATCCAAATGGACAATTCAATTTTTTCAAGTACTATATTTCAAAAAATAAAAAAGAAATCGTACAGAATCAACAAAAGTTGGCCAATTCTTTGAATCAGAATCTCTAAAACGGCTCGCAATAGGCAGAATACGAATGACCCTATCCTCTAACCATATCATAAGTTTAGCAATGTCATCCTCAGCTAAAAATTAAAAAAAAAACAAGCACTCTTACAATGAATAGAAAAGGAGTCAGATGCAGGATAACCGAGGTATTTCAGCTTACGCTGAAGTACCAACCCAACAGACATTTTGGATTGTTACTCAGATACTTTAATACAAAACGTCAAGCAAACCAATCGTTACCGCAGGCAGTCTTTGGTGCCACCATTGACATCATCGAGGAAGCGGTCAACATGGTTGCTATTTCCAATTTATAATTGCCAGCTAAAATTTATGTCATTCAATAACTGTAAGACCAAACCTAAAAAAAGACTTATAGGTAAGTTTAAAAGTTATTAAATGATACGTCTAAAATCATCACATTCTACAATAATTTTCTCCAAATACCATGGTTTGTCCAAATGACTTTTATTTACATACATAAAGGAATGCTTGCAACACATTGGTCATTTTTGGAGAAATGTGAATCAACAGAAATAAGTTGCAAATATTAGTATAATTAAATCGATGTTGGATGAAGTATCCGTCATCAAATGACCGGCAGCCCACGGTCAGAAAAGCATTTTGTTTTGGTTGTACTAGATTTTTGGACAAATATGCAGGTAATGGCCATATACTGCCTATAATATTTTTCAAATACAAATACGTGATTAAAATCACGACAACTGGCATCAGTTCGAATATCGACTAAAAATAGCGCTGTGGTATGAGGTAAGGGCAACCCTAGACAGTCGACAAATAAATTAACTGATAAGCGTGATAAGTCACTGTAATCGCCCTTGCTTACTAAATTATACTACCTTACATGATTGTAGTGGGTCCCGGTGCGATTTTGTGAACCACATCGGAGCCGGCGATATACACTGAGAATGCCCGTCCGTAAGAAGAGTGGAAAATGCAGATGGCGTGTAGCACAAATAATTTATTGATGCAGTAGCTGCATGGACTTTTACAAGGTAACAAATGCGTTTATATGGCTTCGCCAAACACCGATTTCTAAACGCACGTAGTTGCGTGAATTGCACTCACGTAGAACGATTGGATCGTGTTTGCCCACGACTGCTGTGCTTGCTTGCTGCTCACCAAATGACTTTGGGAGTGCTACGTGAAGTATCAAGCGCACCGCTAGTCCAAACTACTACGCCGCCCGTCCACTCTTTCGCCAGCAAAGCCTCGTCACGGCCATTTCCACAGAGGACGTCCCCCCACCTATCAACAAGTCTACTGCTAGGCCTCTTCACTTGCAATTTTATTTCGCCGCATTATTTGATATGCATGTATGACAGCCAAACCCAAGCCAGGCTTGTCGTACACCAATTAGTGTAAACTATCGCTTTCGAGAGTTCAACTCAAACACATGAGCACGGACATGGTTTGCGAGGCACAAATGAAGAGTGCACACCTTTAAACGAGCTAACAATCAATTTCCGACCAAGTTTAAATTGCTTATCTTTACCTCAAACATAGTGCCAGCCACCAATTACATCGATAACTACTTTCGGCTTCAGTTCCTATAAACACGAATACTCTAAAACAAGAACTGATCGAACACAAAACAATATCATTTTTAAGTAAGACTGCCATCTAGAAATTTGGGAACATGAAGTTGAGGACGCGCATAGAGACTTCGTAACCGAGAAAACAAGCCTAAAGTGGAAATTAAAAAAAAAGGTTAATTAATCGGTCTGAACGAACTGTGGGCTTCATTAATATAAAGTGCACAAGCTTGACAGTTACTAGTGCCTACGGGCTCTTATCAGAAGAACTCCAATCTTTCAAATTAGAAATTAAAGAAATAGTACTTAAATTCAATCAACTTAGACTAGTCTAAAAAAGTTAGAGTTTCTCTGAATAAAAAATTGTCCGTCCCATAAGCCACAGGAATGAGTAAAGACCATATGTAAGTTAGACAAATTCCTATGCTTTGAATGCAATTGTTCTATGTAAACAGGAGCTGATTCCAAGGAAAACAACACTTACTGCATTAGCAGGGAACGAACGAATCATGATAGGAGCTGCACCCTTGTAGAGAGCAAAGGCACCTTCTACGGCCAGTAATTCTCCAAACGCAGACCTTAATCCCTTAGGATACTTGCCTTTGGGAGCTAAATACATTAACACAAACATTTAATTTATTTACCTTTACCAATATGTTTCATTAACCAAGAAATCATCCAGCGTGCTAGATGGTAAGTCCTATGGTTTACCTTATTACGCTGTTTCAGCCACTATTCGAGTAAAAGATTTATCGTCATAAGACACCATTTGCGCATTACAAAAGATCGGTCATTAAAAACATGCAGACAAGGCTATCTACGACATAATCACCAAATGTAACCCGTTTTTAAAGTAACCCATTCACTAAAGACAAACCTGAGTGTTTGGTTGACATTTGATAAACTAGATCAGTACTTTTACAGCTTTATATAAAACTACAGCGTGCGTCTCGCAACGTGTATTCATTATAAACTCATGAAGCAAACAGACTCCAACCGGATTCTTTAAATTGATGTTCAAAAGCCAAACAAACCTGTTTGAAGCCGCGACTTGAGTATATCAGGGGGAATAGCAACCAACCAGTAGAGCACACCGGCCATTCCTCCAGCAAAAAGCGTCTGCGCTACGCCATGGCAAGTTCCTCTTCAAATCAAAATAGATAACAAGAGACTCGATTGCAACTTTACATCTCACGAGAATAGATGTGCATGTAGACTTTCAAACTAAGGTGTGATCCACGTCTAATTTACCAAGCACCATGAGGTCTGATGCCAAACCAGTCAAGCTACGAAGTGACCATGGCATCCACTACCTTCTGTTCAAAATTCTTGCCTTCCTGTGTTACAGTTATCTTATGTCAGCTTTCTGTTAGCGACAAAATGGGAGTCAAAACGAAGGCATCCCGGTACTATTTGAAAGCATTCCTTCCACCTCCTACAACAATGTTTCGCCACCGCCAAATCCCTTCAACCACATTACCCATATCCAAAATCCCGCTAAGCATTTTCAGTTAACAGCATTTACAAGCCGGGACAAGCAAGAAAAAAGCAGAACAAGTGATGTTAAACAAATCACCTCCTTCAACAGGTTTACATAAATTTACCATACGCATGACTTCTGAAAATGAAGCGAATGCACTACTTATTTGAATATAAAGTACACCCCCCTCACATTCTTTCATATCAAACAATTTTGTAAACGATGCACTTTAAATATGAAAAACGACACCAAAGGCAACAGGAAATTACAAATCGCCATTTAGTTACAAATGGCGATCCAAAGGCATAGTGTTTTGAAGTATCTTTACGTGAATTGCGGTCGTTGGTCACGCCATGTTCGCATTTGTTTTGCTTTAGCACCCAAAAGGGATTGTTACGTCGAAAACGAACCGTCATGCATACATTTCACGCTCTTTCTGGTAGTCCATCTGCCGCTTCTAAGTTGCTCAAGTCAATCATGCTATAATACGGTTGACCACTGACAGTTTAACACCACGAACACGCGCACACCCGTGAACGAGAGTACTGACATTTTGTGACCACCAGAGCAAATGCACAGATGTGCTCTTCTTTCGTGCCGATTTACTCTGCCATTTTAATTAAAGCAGCTTATTTTCTTATGCCAATCTAGAGGATGACCTCATTTGGATTATCACTATGCTTATTGGTAAAGGGGCTTGTCAATACCATTATGCACTTGTATTTGCTAATTTGAAACTATATTGAATCGAAAATTAAGCAATGCTGCTAGTGGCACCTGTCAGTCACGTAAAACTGAGATCATGAAAAACCACTGGATAAACCTTGTGCTTTTCATAAAGATTTTGGCGAAACGATTCAAAGAAATTGTGATAGTAAAATGCGACATCACTCTAAACAAATTTCGTACTGTGCAATGCGCCATTTTCACAACACGCATCAGTAACCACAGGTCACAAAATGCTGTTGATACGATATATGCACAAAACGCTACATTTAGTTCAGGAAACAACGAACCTGCATCTCACTGGTCAGCTCTACTTAAAACTGGTTATTTTGACTCACTTATCATTAGCTATATTTAAGCAATTTATAACTGACAAACCTCGCATAAAAAAGCATATAAGACACACATATTTGTAGAATTTAATAGGTCTCCTCATTCACGTGGATTAAAAATTAGGAATTAATTCAGGAAGCGCCAAACGAGAGTCATAAAACCAAACGATGACACAAATCGAGTATGAGACGATAATGCATTTAAGAATAGAGGGAATTCGCTGCGCATGAGCTCAGCGACTTTCAGCAAATTTAGGCTATTTCCTTGTCAACTTTTTCAAGTGAACCACAACCGCAAAAGCAAAGAATGTGGGGGCGAATGACAGCCGAATTTTAAATGTATGCATAAGTCGTTTATCTGAACGGTTCGACTAACGTTAGAAGTAGAAATAAATTTTTTGGAAGAAAAATAATAACGGAAGTAAGTAATTACATGGTATATAAATGGACATTAACTGGTTACCTACGAGGCAGATGTTGGCGAGAGGAGCTCTTTTATCCATTCATAACTTAGGAAAAACACGCCTGATGCCGGAACATCTTCGGAAGAGAAAATAACATAAACGTGAATATGTTATCCATGTTGTTTTATCGCAGCTATAATCACTTACCTCTCAAAAGAGTTGCAACAGTACCTCTGTAGAAGCTAGAGAGACCCCCTTCTTGATACAGTTTTCTGATAACGTCAACTGGGCCCCTATATTTAGAACTTCGATCATACGTTTGAATCTTAAATTTGAAAAACACCCATTCAGACAACACCATCAATGTAAAAATGTTAAATTAACAAATAATACCAAATCTACTCTCGTGACACCCGACAGGAAACCCAAACAGAAAAAAATAGTGGGACTCATATTCGTGAGTAACAAATATCATCTATAATGGCGGGACGTCACTTTCACGTTGCCATTACCTGATAACAACACCGACATCAGTGTTAAGTGCGCATAGTTCACAATAAAACTACTCCGAGAAGAGGGGGTACAACTAAGCATTCTAAATCATGAAGCTTAAGTCGTATTAGTGACTTATACACGATTAAAGCTTTAAGTACGAAGAACCTGTTGGTCTAGTTTTGCTACATCGTATTACAATAATCAGATCTCGTGTTATAGCATAACCACAAAAAATGCACACCTGAAGTAAACATTTGATCCTTTCAGCAGGTACCATCATAAATGTTGTACAGACGCCTGACAACATGCCTGCACAAAAAACCTCGTGTTTTCTATGCTGATACTTATTAAACGGGCAAATTACTTAACGCAATTTATATCTTGCGCAAATATTTTCTTGCCGAAATTATAACCGAGGAAGCAAATTGCGAACAGAGGAGTTGCACCAGCCAACGGGGCAAGCATCCCTTTGTACAGACCTGAAATGCCTTCAAGCGCAATTGTTTTGTGGGCACAATCAAGCGCACCCTTATAAATTGGTGTTTCGCCCGGTCCACAAGGCGGCGCCGTCTGAAGACGAACCTTTATTGTGTCAAGGGGATGACCTGTAACAACAGCACACATGCCGCCAAAACCGCCTGCCCAAAACGACTTTATATGACTAGTCCGACCCCCATTAGCGTCAGTAAAATCCATAAGCGGCAAATTGCAGTGTGAAGACTGTGGTGTAGTCTCTGGCTTGTGATTGGTCAATCAAGCCTGTTCTGCTGCATCAGTCTTTTTCCTATTAGGCCTCGGGTAATCTACAGTGGTGTGGTGCGACTGTGGCGTCGGATTGGGGCGCAGACATATTGGACCACCTGGCCGCAGCCAATCCTGTGTCTCTCTGCAATCCAATGGCAT